CATCCCCATGGGGTTGGGGGTGTCCCCCAGGGTCCCTTAAAGGGGTCGGGGGTATCCCCAAGGTCACCCAAAGAATTTTGGGGTGTCCCCAAGGGGTTGGGGGTGTCCCCCAGGGTCCCTTAAAGGGGTTGGGGGTGTCCCCAAGGTCACCCAAAGAACTTGGGGGTGACCCCAGGGTCACCTAAAGAATCTGGGGGTGTCCCCAAGGTCACCCAAAGAATTTTGGGGTGTCCCCATGGGGTCGGGGGTGTCCCCCAGGGTCCCTTAAAGGGGTTGGGGGTGTCCCCAAGGTCACCTAAGAAGGAGCTGGAGATGTCCCCAGGGTCCCCAAAGGCGTTGGAGGTGTCACCAAGGGTCCCTCAAAGGGGTTGGAAACGTCCCCAGGGTCACCTGAAGGGCTTGGGGGTGTCCCCAAGGGTCCAGGGTGTCCCCAAGGTCCCCAGAAACGGGTCAGGGGTGTCCCCAAGGGTCCAAGGTGACCCCTGGGGGGTCCTGGGGTTGTCCCTCAGGTCTGGGGGTGTCCCCACCCCCCCCAAGGAGTGTCCCCAGGGTTGGGGGGTGACACAGGGGTGGCCCCTGACTCCAGGTGTCCCCCCTCCAATGGGATTTGGGGACTCTGGGTCTGTCCCCAGTGTCCCCTGTCCTCACACTGTCTCCTGTGTGTCCTCACACTGTCCCCCGTGTGTCCCCCCAGGGTCTCTCTCTGGTCACCCCTTCTGGGTTGGGAGGGGGGGGTCTGACCCTGCCTGTGGTGTCCCCTGTGCCCTCTGTCCCCCTGATGTCCCCTCGGTGTCCTCCCCACGGCCCTGACACCCCCGTGTGCCCCCCATGACCCCCCGTGTCCACTCACTGTGTCCCCTCACTGTGTCCCTCTGAGGGGAGCCGGGTCTGGAGCCGGGCAGCCCTGATGTCCCTCAATGTCCCCTGATGTCCCTCACTGTCTCCTGTGTCCCCCCCGTGTCCCCCCCGTGTCCCCTCACCGGGTCTCTCTCGGGGGAGCCGGGCAGCCCTGATGTCCCCCAATGTCCCCTGATGTCCCCCAATGCCCCCTGATGTCCCCCAATGCCCCATGATATGCCCCGCAGTGTCCCCCCTGTGTCCCTGATGTCCCCCCCAGTGTCCCCAGTGTCCCCTCACCGGGTCTCT